GTCGGATCATGCTCCAGTTGCAATGAAGTTAAGATGGGGTAGAGAGGGGAGAGAAGGATATGTATGGCAGTTGAACGAGGCACTTCTCATGGATGAAAGAGATTGGTCAAAGAATTGAGAGGGAAATTGAATGGTTTTTTTGAAGAGAATGAAACAGAGGATGTGTCAGTTGCAACGGTGTGGGAAGCACATAACGCTTAGATCAGAGGTCTACTCATTGCAATGGGGGCAAAAAAGAAAAAAGAAAGGAGAGAAAAGATAAATAGATTATTAAATGAAATATATGATCTTGAACAGGTGCATAAAAGGGAAAGATCTAAGGAGATAATGCAGATGTTAATAAAGAAGAAAGAAGAATTAGAGGAGGAGGGAAAAAAGAAGAGTCTTTAATAAAATAACAAGTGAAAGGTATAGATGGGGAGATAGGCCGGGAAAGTATTTAATGAGAACTTTAAGAAAGAAGAAAAATAGAAATTATATTGAGAAAATAAGAAATCCCAAGGGGGAATTTGCACACTCAACCAAGGATATTGCTAGAAAATATTTAAAGAGTATTATAATAAGCTGTATAATATCATACCTCAGGATACGTTTAAGAAAATGGAAACAGTAAGTAGAGGGAAAAGAAAGACATACCTAGAGGCTGCAGGCCTACCGAAATTAAGAGAAACACAACTGAACTCTTTAGAGGCATAAAGAACTTCAGAGGAAATAAAAATAGCGTTAAAAAGCATGGCAGGAGGGAAAAGTCCAGGTCCAAATGGATATATGGCTAAATACTATAAAAAATATAAAGAGCTTTTAATACCCAAAATGAAGATTTACATGAAACACCTTGGGAAATGGGATGGAGATAAGGGGAGAGTCTTTACAGGCTAATATAGTATTGATACAGAAGGAAGATAAAGACCCCTCGCAATGTGCGAGTTATCGTCCAATAGCGCTGTTGAATGTAGACACTAAAATATATGCAAAGGTTCTGGCAAATAGACTGAAAGAGCTGATGCTGGAGTGGATACATGGAGACCAGGTGGGGTTTGTCTCGGGAAGAGAGGGTAGAGATAATGCTTTGAGATCACTGTTGCTTATACAGGAGGGTAAAAAAGGGAAAACCCCAATGATACTGATGTCGATAGATGCTGAGAAGTTGACAGAGTAAGTTGGGGTTTTATGATGGACACTTTGGAAGCGTTAGGAATGGAGATAGAATGAGATTGTGGATTGGAGAGTTATATAGAGGGCCTACCGCTACCATAATGGTAAATGGAGGAAGATCAGAGTATTTTAAGATGTCAAATGGTACAAGGCAGGGATGTTCATTGTCTCCATTGTTATACGTGTTATCACTGGAGCCCTTACTGTCCATGATTAGGAAGAACATAGACATAAAAGGAATAAAGATAGGTGATAGAGAACATAAGGTAGTGGCTTATGCGGACGACCTGATGTTTTATGTTGGAAACCCTAGAACATCACTTCCAAATTTAATGAAAGCATTGAGGGAGTACGGAGACCTGTCGAACCTGAAAATTAACCCGACAAAGACCGAAATCTTATACATAAATCTCAAAAACAGCGAAAAGGAAAAAATTACAAGAGGAATTCCCTTTCCTTTGGAGAGACAAAGAATTAAAATATCTAGGAATAAAACTATCAGCCTCAATTAAGAACCTTTATAAAGCCAATTATATAATGTTATTAAATGAGATTAAGGAGGAGCTGAGGAGAGTGGGAAATGGAAACCCATCGTGGATAGGTTCGCATAAACTTGATAAAGATGGTAATTGTCCCTAAAGTAATTATACAAATTTCAAATGATCCCAATCAAACTCCCAGAGGCATATTTTAAAGAACTGAGGAAAATGATAATAAAATGTATATGGAGGAATAAAAAGCCTAGAATAGGTTATGAAACATTGACTAGAAGTAAAAGAAAGAGGAGGATTGGGGTACCAGATTTTAGGAGATATTACAAAGCGGGGATAATCGCGAGAATCTTCGACTGGATTCATAATCCGGAGAAAAGTTGGGTTAAAATTGAGAAAGCACTGAGTGGAATAAGTTTAAGTAAAAGTATCTGGGTACCTGCACAATACAGAGAATTAGAGGAGAGCACAAGCACGTACACTCTTAATGTTTTAAAAGAATGGGATTTATTACACAGACAAAAGGGGTGGGTTTTTAATTCACAATTAATACCACTTAGGAACACAAAATATTCATCCCAGGTAAGGATAGCATAGCAGGGAAATGGATTATAAAACAGGAGGCGCAACTGAGAGATATAATGGTAGGAGAGGAAATTGGGTCATACAAGGATATGGAGGAAAGAAAGGGTGAAGTCTTTAATAAGATGGATAGACTAAGATATTACCAACTGAAGTATTTTTTTGAAAGCCTTCCAAAGCCTATAAGAACTAGAAAAGAATGGAATCCATTTGAGAGAATATTAGAGTCACGGGGAAATGGTAGACACGGAACGGCAAAAAATACACAAGATATTAATGGAACTTGACACAGACACAAAATTAATGCACATAGAGAAATGGGAAAGAGATATGGGAAGAAAAATAGAGGAGGAGGAGAAGAGGAAAATATTTACATTAATTCACAAAAATATTAGTATGAGAGAAGTAGAAATCAATTATAAGTGTTTGAATAGATGGCACATTACCCCCAACCTGGAGCACAAGATGAATACGGAAATTTCACAGATGTGTTGGAGAGGCTGTGGAGAGGTGGGACGTGGTATCATATGTGGTGGGAGTGTCCAGAAATACAGGTGTTTCTGGCGAAGGATAGTTTATTTGATAGGGAAAATTACTAAAATCAATATAGGATTAGATCCAGAATTATGCCTCCTCCATATCTCAGAACTCTCAGTGAAAGCATATAAGAGTTCGGGGATATGGCATTACTTGACCGCAGCAAAGAGCCTGATACCCAGGTTCTGGAAGAAAAGAGAGGTGCCCAACTGAGGAGGATTGGATGAGTAGAGTAAATCAGATTTCCGGGACAGAAAGATTGTATTATACGCACAAGGACAAGTTGGAGATGTATAATAAAAAATGGAAAGGCTGGGAAGAATATAGAGAAATGGTGAAATATATGAAGAGATAATATCCCTGGAAGTCGGTTTAGAATTGGATTCAGGAACAACAGAATTATATGGAGTTAATGAGAGAAGAGAGAATGTGGAGCGTGGGAGGGAGAGGGAAGGAGGGGAGGGGATGGGGAGATAGAGGGGGGGAGTATGGGAGGGGGATGGTAAGAAAAGAAAGTTATATATAGGAATAAATTATGTAAGGAGAAAATACGTTTTTGATAATTATTTTAATAGAAATGTTGAAAGACTTGTATATGAATTGAAAAATTAATAAATATTTATAAAAAAAAGAACATGCTGAGAGTTGATCATGAGGTTTTTACATTTCGATGATAATTACCCCGGTACCTGTGCCCTTCTCAAATCATCTTGCTTATGACAAGCTGTTCAAAATTCAGCCACTCATCAATTTTCTCTCCAGTAAGTTTTTGGAAATGTTTTGCTCCCAATAAAAATATTTGTGTCAATGTGTCCCTCTGCCATTTCAATGTAAGGCTGGGCATTAAACAGTACATCCCCAGTAAATGGGCCAAATTTGATCTGAAGCTTTGCAACAAGGCCACCAGATACATGTATAACTTCCAAATTTGTGAGGGGAATGGACCATCCGCTAGAGCCCTTGGGAAGCCCTGAGTATATGGGGACTAGTGGGAAAATTATTTGGAACCTTGTAGAACCACTATTCCAGAAGAGGTGCTATCTGTATGTGGGTAATGTTTACACTATCCGCTATTTTATCATCTTTTTCTCAAGAAAACAGCCCGTGGGACATCAAAGTCAAAGAACTGGGCTTCTCAAAAACTTGGTCACTACAAAACTCAAAGGGGGGGGGGTTAGGGGGAGTCAGCCAGTTTGGTAAAAGAAGAGATACTAGCCCTAAAGTGGACAGATAAAATACATGTCTATGTCCTTTCCTCCATCTATATTGACACCACGCTGGAACGTCAATGTAGACAAGGTCCTGTCCAATAACACAAGTGCATATACGACAATAACCAGTTCATGGAGGGGTGGATTTGAAAGGCCAAATGTTACAACTCTACTTAGACACCAGGAGATCAATCCACTGGTATAAAAAAAGTATCCATATACTTATTTCAGTTAGCCTTGCACAACCCCTATGTAATCTTTTGTAAGTGCACACAAAGACCCCTATCCTACCTGAAGAATCAAGAGCCCTTATTTTTCTGGAAGGTCATGCCCCTGAACACATTTACTCTTATTCAGTGAGTATACTTCACGAAAAACATTTCCCTGATATCATCCCTCTTTCCCAAAAAGAACAATATCCCCCCCCAAAAAATGTTGTGTATGCACCAGTAATTAAATTTGCCATGACACCCAATATTATTATCCATAATGGCCCAGCCAGGCCTCTGTATAGGAGAGTGCTTCCAGATCTACCATACATCACTACACTATTAGTGATGTATAAATGAAGTGAAGATATTTCTCCAGTGTCCTCTACCTACCATTGTCCTGTGTGACTATGCCTTTGCCTGCTTTCTACACTGACCGTGGCCTGTTAATTGACCATGCCTCTGTCTGATACCTGAACTGACCCTGGCTTGTTTATGGATGATGCCTCTGCTTGCCTCCTGAACTATTACCGCATTTCTGTCTTCCACCAGAACTGAGCTCACTCTGTTAACTAGTAGCCGACCGCAGATAGCCGAATGACGGCTGCACTGCGGCCGGCCAGTTCTGAGTGGACGTCATATGACGTCCCCCCAGAACGCGCTCTCCTGCGCGCCCCAGGGGGCGCGTACCCGGCGATCTCCGTGATCGCTGTGTCCTACGGACACAGCTGATCACGTGATGTGGTAAAAGGCCGATCACAGCGGCCTTTTACCACGTGATCAACGGTGTCCAATGACACGCTGATCACAGGGAAATGCAAGTGACGGTTCTCGGCTGCACTTTCCTCACGCTGTCAGATCGTGAGGAAAGTATTGCCGAGAACCGGTAGTTGTCACAGCGGGGATCGGCACCGATCATCAGGGCACTGATGATCAGTGCCCTGATGATCGGTGCCCAGCAGTGCCACCCGCAAGTTCCGCCCACATGTGCCCAGCAGTGTGTCCACTAGCTCCGCCCACCTGTACCCAGCAGATCACCCACCTGTGCCCAGCAGTGCACCCACCTGTGCCACTCTGCAGTGTCACACACCTGTGCCCAGAAGTGCCACCTACCTGTGCCCAGAAGTGCCACCTACCTGTGCCCACCCACCTGTGCCCACCAGTGCCACCCACCGGTGCCCACCCACCAGTGCCACCCACCAGTGCAGCCCAGCAGTGCTGCCAGTCAGTGCCACCAGTCAGTGCCCAGGGGTTGTGCCAGTCAGTGCCGCCAGTCAGTGCCCAGCAGTGATGCCAGTCAGTGCCGTCTATCAGTACCCATCATCAGTGTCACCTATCAGTGCCGCCTATCAGTACTGCATATTAGTGCCGCCTATCCGTGACACCTCATTAGTGCTGTCTATCAGTGTCCATCAGTGCCGCCTATCAGTGCCCATCAGTGCTGCCTCATCAATGCACATCAGTGAAGGAGAAAAAATACCTGTTTGAAAAATTTTATAATAGAAACAAAGAAACTTTTTTTTTTTTCAAATTTTTTGCAGTTTTTTTATTTATAGCGCAAAAAGTAAAGCGCCCAGTGGCGATTAAATACCACCAAAAGAAAGCTCTATGTGTGAGAAAAAAATTATCAAAATTTCATATGGGTACAATGTTGCATGACCGCGCAATTGTCAATCAAAGTGCGGCAGCTCTGAAAGCTGAAAATTGGCCTGGTAAATAAGGGGGTATAAGTGGTAGGCAAGTGGTTAATTGACCAAGTTTTTTACTTGCTGCCTTAACTGTTCTTTTGCCCTGCCACTGTAGTAGTAGGATTCAAGATAAACATGGAGGTCTCACATATGTGAGGGGCTCTAGAGTAGTTTTTTCAGAGTGGACAAAATTCAGTTTTTGTTTTTTTTAAGGTTTTGGAATTCCCAGATCAGGGTCTGGAGACCAGAGGCTTCAAAGATATTTGGGGCAGAAGAAGCCTCTAAACCTGTGCCAACATCTTACCTGACCAAGACTCTAAGCCTGATTCTGCCTGCTGCCATCTCACCCTGGCCTTTTAATTGAGCTTGTATCTGCCTGCCGCCTAAACTGACCATTCCCCTGTCTGCTGCCTGTACTTACCCTGGCCTGTTTATGGACCATGCCCCTGCCTGCTGCCTTGACCAATCTTTTGGCTGTACTGACCCTGTCTCTGCCTGCTGCCTGGATGATTTATTTGGCTATTTCAGACCATGTCTCTGCCTGCTGCTTGGGCCAATGCTTTGTCTGTTTGCTGACCACTTCTCTGCCTGGCACCAGTAATGACCCATCTACATGTCCCACTGGCTTTGTTCCTAAAAGACTCCAGTCCCACTCATCCTCTGCTGACAACTGTACTAGTAAAACCACAGATGGTGTTTGCCATTCAAAATGTGGTAATTTGTGGGTGTTTACATTTTTATGGTGCTTCAGGGCCTCCAAAACATGTGATAGGTAGTCAGTAAATATAGATATGTAATTTATGCCACTAGAATGTCTGAAGGTGCTGCTTGGATGTTGGGCCCCTCTCTGTGGCAAGGCTATGAAAAAGTCACACACATAAGGTATCATCATACTCAGGAGCATACTCGGGAATTTATTTTGGGTGTAATTATTGGTATATCCATGGTGTATGTTAGAAATATGTTACAAATTGACAACTTTGTGTTAAAAAATAAATTTACATTTTCTTACCACTTTTTCCAAAAAACTGTGGCAAAAATGACTTCTTCAAAAGACAAATTATTCCTCGCAGAATATAATTTTGCATGTTTGCTTTACAAAATGTGGTCATTTTGTAGGCATTTCCACTGTCCTGGTCTCCAGGGTCTTCAAAAATATGATAGGTGGTCATGAAATTAGATGTGTAATTTATTCCTCTAGAATGCCTGAAGGTGCTCCTTGGATGTTGGGCCTCTGTATGTGGCTATGCTGTGAAAAAGTCTCTCACATGAGTTATCCCCTTATTCAAGAGGAGTACCAGAATTTTTTTTTTTTTTTAGGTGTAATTGCAAGTATGTCTGTGCTGTGTGTGTAAATAACTTGTCAATATGACCATTTTGTGGAAAGAAAATATTTAATTTCTTAATTTTCCAAAGAATTGTGCAAAAAATACAACTTAAAAAAACTCACCATGCCTATAAATACCATGAACTGTCTACTTTCCAAAAAGGGGTCATTTGGAAGGTATTTGTACTGTCCTGGAAACTTAGGACCTCAAGAAATTAGATAAGCAGCCAGTACATCATGGTTGATCAATTTTTTGGTTATACACACCGTTCCTTCTAGACTTTAAAGCCTGGTTCACAGCAATGCGTTTTTTAGTGCTTTTTTTCGCAGAAACACACTACAGTCCATTTAACATGGTTTCCAATGGGACATGTTCACGCCAATGCTTTTATGAGCTGCTGCGTTTTTGGAAAGGGTCAGGGACTTTTTTAAATGCAAAAAAAAACAGCGTTTTTTTGCTACAATAGAGTTTCAATGGAGAAGCTGCTGAAACGCATGTCGTGTGTTTTCACCTCATTTTTTGCCGCATTTTGCTTTTTTTCAGCCCAGCAACAAAAACATTTCCACTTTAACAAAAAAAATCTGAAAAAAATAACGCAATACACGGTAAAAACGTGCATGTAAAAACGCAAAGCACAATGCAAAAAGCATTTAAAAATGGATCAAGCATTATGTTGTGGGAATGTTTTCTTCAGTAGAGATAGGAAAGCTGGTCAGAGTTAATGAGAAGAAGGATGGAGCCAAATACAGGGCAATCTTAGAAGAAAACCTGTTGGAGTCTGCAAAAGACTTGAGACTGGGGCGGAGGTTCACCTTCCAGCAGAACAACAACCCTAAACATACAGCCAGAGCTACAATGGAATGGTTTACATCAAAGCGTATTCATGTGTTAGAATGGCCCAGTCAATGTCCAGACCTTAACCCAATTGAGAATCTGTGGCAAGACTTGAACATTCCTGTTCACATACAGTATGTTCTCCATCTAATCTGATAGAGCTTGAGCTATTTTTGCAAACAAAAAATGGGCACAAATGTCACTCTCCAGATGTACAAAGCTGGTAGAGACATCCCCAAAAAGACCTGCAGTTGTAATTGCAGCAACAGGTCATTCTACAAAGTATTGATTCAGGGGGCTAAATACAAATGCATGCCACACTTTTCAGATATTTATTTGTAAAATATTTTGAAAACCAATTATCATTTTCCTTCCACTTCACAATTATGTGCCAATTTGTGTTGGTCTATCACATAAAATCCCAATAAAATACATTTAGGTTTTTGGTTGTAACATGACAAAATGTGGAACATTTCAAGGAGTATGAATACTTTTTCATGGTACTGTATCTGTCGTAAAGAAATGATAAAGCATTCATTTGGGTACAGTGTTGCTTGACTGAGTAAATTGTCATTCAAAGTGTGAGAGCACTGAAAGCTGAAAATTGGCCTGGCCGGGAAGGGGGTAAACATGTCCAGTATCGAGGTGGTTAACCACTTCCCACCCAGCCGTCATTTTATGATAGAGCCTGTCATCATTCCGGGAGGGCATAATATGACGAGAGCCGCACTGTGGCGAGATCTGGAGCTAATCACAACAAAAAAACCTGAATGAATCAATTTCATTCAGTTAAATGCTTGCTTATAGTAAAGAAATTCTTTGCTATAAGCAATCAAATTGCGTAAAAAAAAAAAAATACTGATCACTTCCCCAAAGTAATAAAATGTTGCTATGGTAACATTATACTACTTTGGTCATAGTGTAATATGAAAAAAAAACTTAAAAAAAAAGAATAATTTAATAAAAAATAAAACAATAAAAGAATTGAAACAAAATTATCACCTTTTTTTTTTTTTTTTGTACTGTCACCAGTCAGTGTCCCTGATCACCGCCACACTGGTTATATGATGATGCTGTACTGCACTGGTGACAGTATGTAAAAAACAAATTGTGAAAATAACTTTTTTAATTTCTTAATTTTCCAAAAAATTATGACAAAAAAATTACAACTTCAAAAAACTTGCCATGCCTCTTATGAAAAACATTGGTCTGTCTACTTTGCAAAAAGGGGTCATTTGGGGAATATCTGTACTGTTCTGACATTTTTGGGCCTCAAGAAATTAGATTGGCTGTTAGTACTTCAGGACTGATCAATTTTCAGATATATACCATAGTTTGTGAACTCTATAACTTTCCTACAGACTAAATATTACTGATTTGGGTTATTTCTACCAAAGAAATGTAGCAGAATACATCTTGGCCTAAATTTATGAAGAACAATTATTTATTTGCAAACTTTTATAACAGAAACAAAGAAAAATGTGGGTAAAATTTAGTTGGTTTTTTTTTGTTTTAATTTAGCACAAAATAAAAAACCCCAGTGGTGATTAAATACCACCAAAAGAAAGCTATAGTTGTGTGAACAAAATTATAAAAATTTAGTTTGGTACAGCGTTGCATGACCACGCAATTGTCATTCAAAGTATGAGAGTGCTGAAACTTGAAAATTGGCATGGGCAGGAAGGGGGTAAAAGTGCCCGGTATTGAAGTGGTTAAAGGCCATGGAGTGCATTTTGGTTTGAAAAAAATATCTTTTGCAAACAAGCACATAAATTTGTTGGTTTTTGAATCTACAACCCTCAGAATTGGCCTTGAATCCATGGTAGCAGCAAACTTGAACCTTATCCCTGGTTGTGAGATGAGGGGAAGGGAGAAGACACCGAGTCAGAACAGATACGAAGTACTGTATGTGCTCCCAAAACCAGAGAGGGTTATGACATACAAGGAGGAAAGGGCTGTGCTAGGGAATTGACTTTACCAGATTCAAATTTTCTATAACATTCAAAAGCACATTGCATTTGAATAAAAAGATAATTTATGGAATGAAAAAACACTGCAAGTAAGCATTTATAATACCTATTTTTTTTTTTTTTCTGTGATTTTATATGCATTGCAAGCATGTGACAGTCTTTTTAGGGGTAGATATTATTCTTACATTGCTTTAGTAGCAGTATTTCATTATGTATTCCAGTAGCCTGCCAAGAAGTCCCCAAAGTAATTTAATGTGTTTATTTTTCTAGCAACAAAAATCTAAATTGCTATTCTAGCTGTCTTGCTGGAACAAATCAATAAATATCAAATGAATACTGTAAACAGATAAACTTACCTGGA